ATATATATATATATATATATATATATATATATATATATATATATATATATATATATATATATATATATATATATATATATATATATATATATATATATATATATATATATATATATATATATATATATATATATATATATATATGGAGAAGAAACAAAAAAATTAAGGATTAAGATACATATTTGCAAAAACTTTAGGGGGGCTAAAATTAATATTAAAAAAATATAGTGCCAAAATACCTAAAAAAAAATTATTTTTTTAATCTTGGGGGGTCAATAGCCCCCCTAGCCCCTTCTATGTTCCGCCAATGGTAATAAGGTAAATACAAAAAAAAATATTTGAGTTTGAGCTCGAGTCTGACAAACTCGACTACATATCAATCTCGAAATAAATTTAGATGAGCTCGAGACATTTATTTCTTTTAAATTCAATTTTGTGGCAGGAGATATATGAAATTTGATCATGTAATTATAATATTTCAATGCCACCTAACATCGTAGACCTTACTATGGGGATGGATTGAAGGTTTACGAGATTTGAAGTGTTATCCAACTTTAATGTAAGAATATTCAAATAAACTAACATAAAATATTTGTAAATATATTAATTACAATAGTATAAAATATAATATAATATAATATAATATAATATAATATATCATGTTGCATTATCAATATGTATAATGGGTTTTGACTTAAGAGAGATTAAGGGTAGGTGCCTAGCTAGGTGGGCTAAATAATTGAAGTGTTAGATGAATAATTAACTAAATATGTAGTTTGAATAGGCTTGTATGATATAATTTAAATCAGTCCAGTTAATATCGCGATGCAATACGATTTCTCTAGAAACTATACAATTCTGTATATGTATCAATTATACGTACTCATATATCATCAGGTATCGCAATATCATACGATACGATAATTACGATATTTATTTTACGGGTGATTTGTCGATTTTCAATACACATGGGGGTGATTTGTATAATTTTCAACATATTTGGGGATGATCTATGAAATTTTCAGCATATATATATATATAATTTTTATAATAGAAGTGTGTTATTTATTTATGTATTTGATTTTAGATAAATTTTATTGTTCTCCCAATCAAAACCAATAAATTTGTTCAACATTGACATAAATCAAAAGCTATTTATTTTAGCAAAGGTAATAACACTGACACTAGCATTTTTGAAAACTATGACTTTTGTCTAGTTAATCATTTAACATTGAAACTTAAATTTATATCTATTTTGAATGAATGATTGACTTTAAAATATTATATTTACATGTTTATTGTATTATTATTATATGATATATATTTTGTACTATTTTTAATAATTAGTCAAATATCCTACAATATGATATAATAAATGGTACAACATAATATATATATGTTAGCAAAACGGTACACGATATAATCCACGATATAATCCGATATGATAACCATGGTTTAAATAAAACTAGATTTTTGGCCCGTGCGATGCACGGGATTGGTGGG